GAAACCTTTTTTTGAGGTGACTAACTCCTATGGAATTACAAGGGATTTGACAGTGTAAATACCTTTACTTCCTTTTGAAAACCTGCTACCTTCCACTAATGGATATGTAGAGAACCAAATTCTTAGCTGATTTAGTTTAGATACTGCAATATATGAAGGAAATCTACTAGGCTATAACCCAAAATATCTGAAAAATGTCTTTGAGTACAATAAATATATATAATAGACATCTGAAGCTTTTTTACTTAGCACTTTAGATGTGGTGTTTTGTGTTTGTTTTTTTTTTATTAACTATACCTGAATCAGTCTTTAAATGTTAATTTAGTTAGGAGTAATGCGTATCTCAGATGTTATTTAAACATTACCTCTACCAAGCCATGTTATTTTAAACAATTAGTAAGTGAATCACTTGCAGAGGTCTCTGCAGGACTGAAGATTAATACTGTTTTCTCCAGCATAAGACACTGAAATTCATCCTCTAAAAACCATAGAGATATAAAAATATATAAATAGAGAACACTCTCTAGCCTTCTGGGAAAATGTAAGCAATTCCATGAAGTCAGGGGAGGTTTACATTACAATTGTCATATAAAATTCAGACAAGTGAAATCATAAAAGCCAAAACACAAAACAAAAGTGGTTTGGTACAGGTGAATGTCAGTGCCAAACAAAAAAAAAAAGGCAGTGAAGCTGCAGCTCATCTGCGTGACTTCAACATAACAGAACTGCATATATACAAGGAATTTTAAATGAGGGAAGAATCTGCATGTGAAAAAAAACTGAAATTAAAATAAAAAAAGTATCCTGACTAAAAGGGAGGATGGAAAATAAAAGCAGCTAGCTGGTAGCAAACATTAGCTAGAGCAGATGTGGTTGCCATTAGCTCTAAATGCATGTTAAATTATAGCCAGCATCTGTTCTCACAGAGATGGCCTCAGTCATCTTAAGTTTGGTTTGGAAATGAAAACTTCAGAAAAGGATTTGGGTTTGGGAGAAGTAGATGTCAGTAGAACCTGATGTCTTGATAACCGCAGGCAAATGTTCAGAGTCCTGGATGGTCGTTCTGCAGCTCTGAAGGAGTGGTGTTACATGTCATAGGAGCTGCATTGGCAAGCCAACAAAACCTTTTAAGGATATGAATGTAGGATTCAATGATTTGACTTCTTTCTAGACAATCAAAGCTGAGCCAACAGTAAAATAGATGCTGGTGACAAATACAGAGAAAAGGAAAGCAAAGTCCCAAAGATTTCCAAATAATGACTAACATTTAACTCCGAGAAGCAGTTACACAAAGAGAAACAAAATGATTATAATAGCAGGCATCATAAAATGCTGGGACCTAGAAAAATTAAAGTAGTAAGAATGACTAACTCAGTCAAAAAATTCAATCGCACAGTTACCAGGGCTTAGGAAAAGGACTTCCAAAATGATGGAGGGATTACAAATTGTAAAATAGGTGGTAGGAACTATCAGAGAAATCACGAACAGAAAAGAAACTCTGTCATCCAATCAGTGCTGAAAGCACAAAATGAAGTGGAGGAAACATGCCTGGCTGGGACTTCTTAAAAATGTTCCTAGCCACTGACTGAGTAATAAGACTGACCAGAATTACTTAACGGCAGGCAATCATTACAGTAGAAGAGGTAAAGTGACCCAAACTTGTCAGTATTTGGTAACCAATGAGTCAATGGGACCAAACCAAAAACTGCAGCAAATTCAGTCAAAATGCAATTATATATGAAATTACAATGACTGTGGGAAATTAGGAAATAGGAAGTTTTTAGTAAATATTTTGGGTTTGTGGCACTTTGCATTGTGACTAGCCATTGGCTCTGTCAAGCACATAACAAATCTGTAACAGAGACTGCATGTTTATGAGGATTGCTCAGCCTTCAGTTAACAGTTAAAATCTCTTACAGGCAGATGGCTGGGGGGCTGCATGAAACCATTTTGGTTTTGCATCAGTCTCCCAGTGGATAAGGGCCCACATTGTAATGAGTACTAATTACTAATCTTTCCAGGAACTCTGAAAAAGAACCATGGACTGAATGCATGTGGAAAAATTAGCTATTCTGAGCTGTATCTATTAGCTGAGTTTTCAGTCAGGGGTTTTGTGTGTAGTGGGACAAGACTTGATTGATTCTTCATCTACTCTTTTTCTAGTCTGTGAAGCAGCCCTTAGGGAACAGTTTTAGTTGAGATGTTCCTAGGAAAGTAGTTTTCCTGCACTGAGTTTCTTAGGACTGAATGAGAAAAGCTGTGCAGAACTACTGGAGAGAGGGCCAACACTTCTGCTACTTCACTTGGACACGCCAGCTCTACCACTATGGTTCTACTTCTTGTAGATATATCTCTCGGGCTGCCTATGGGGTATCTGAAAAAACAGGCATGTATTCTTCACTATCTATGCTGCTTTGGGGAAGGCTGTGCAAGAACTGTGGGCATATGCTACTATTATTTGCTTCTCCCAGCATATTGCCACGTCTCTTGCACAAGCATAACCCATGCAATTCAGCCCTTACAACTTAAACTGGTGTAATGCTTCCATTAAAGTAGAGAAATCTCTTATTAACCCTTTGGCATTAGCAACTTGATCACAGGGGTACAGGATGCAAGTTATAATGACAAAATTGGCTAGCTAGTATAATGTAGTTGAGTGCAGATGACTATAGGACTTGTACAAAAGGGAATTTGTTACTGCCATTTTTTTGGTCATATTTTATACTGAATAAGTATCTCTGTTTTGCTCTGTCAGGTTGACATATAGAATCTTCTTGTTACTAGTACGTATTTCTTGCCAATATATTGGTTTATGTGTTTTCAATGATAAATCAGTGACACGAAGTTCTTTTCCATTTTTGTTGATGGAGAGTTGCTGTTTGAATTTTAAGTAAAATTTCATTTATTCTCACAACAACATAGATAACATCTGAAAATATTATTATCCCAGATAGTTCCTACAATCTGTTAACCTCCACATGCAATAATAACTACCTTGAGTCTATATTTGAAAAGACAACACCAAATTAAAACATGTAAGCATGATGCTGACATTCTGTTCTTGTGTAGTATCTCCTATTGTCTCACTACTATGCATTTTCTGTCATTTTCATCATTCTCCCGAAAAAATTACAAAAGCTGTGACACAACAAACATTAGAAATGTGATTAGTTTCATTATTTAAACAAAAGAAATATTGTTCCTACTATATTTGCTTCTGGAAATTGAAACATGAAGATCGGATAAGGGCTAGAAAAAGGACTTTTTGTCCTTGAGTTACAACCCATTTGAAAATAAACTTTCTTTTTAAAATAAACTTTTCTTAAGTAATGATCTTCAAATCATGGACTTGGTGTCAGCAACTCATTTAAATAGCTGCACACTAACAATGGTTGGGCAGTATTGTATTTTAATGATAGTTTTGCCCATGAGAACTGCAAGATCTTATTCCATCAATAAAATCAAAATTACTGCCATGTATAAATGACAGCCTGAATCCCTGTGTATCAAAGAAGTCCATGACATTAGAAGAAAAAAGAAAAAGTACAGTTTGGTCTGGAATTGGAGCTAACGAAACAGAGCCTCCCTAGATAACATTTAAGAATTGCTCTGGCCAGAGATTTCTTTGATATATGTGTAATTTCAACTGCTTACCTTTAGATTAAAAATTAGTGGCATTCTCAGAAGTCAACACCAGATACTTTAATAATCCTCACAGATGTTAGTACTTTAAATAGAAGAGGTACTCTCATTCCTACAGAATAAACACATAGTAGGATGGAAATAAAAAAAATCCCTCCAAGATGTTAAACTGTAAACACAGGCTCTTGCAGTAAGTACATGGAGAAATGAAAAAGCTGGGGAAAGAAGTCAGATTGTAAATTATAAGGAAAGGAGGAGTTGGTTAAGTCTGTCATTTAACCCTGAGGATAAATGCCCTTAATGATGAGATAGGAATATAAAACTGGCAAAGGAGACAACCTACTCAAAGAGAGTGGAAAGTTGGCGACAAGAGAAACACAAAAACTAAGGCAGGAATTTTGAGCTCTCTTCAGATTCAAGTCAAAGAACGTCTCTGAAATTTCTAACAGGGATATGGGCTCTAAAAAACCTCAGTAGTTTAGCAAAAGACATTAAGTCCAGTGATCAAACTGGAAGTCATAAAAACCAGACCAGAAATCAAGTGAACATCAGATGGTAGTTCAACCATTGTAACAGAAAAGGGGATGTGGCAGGTAGAAGTTCAACCAATGGAACAGAGAAGAGGATGTGGCAAATTCTTCATTATCTTGAATCCTTAAATCATGATGTAATAAGCTCGTTTGTTTTGAGTTTCTGGACTATGGGTGCTGAGCCCCCCTTTCCCCATTGTCAGAGAGTGCAATCAGGGATTTCTGAAGCGTTGCAAATTTATTGCACTCTTCTTTACTCTTTGCACACCCTTAGTCTTCAAGGTCAAGTAACTTCCATCAACCTCTCAGAGCTCTCCCAGATTATAGAGATTTACTGTCACCAGTAATTCTTAAACAACTTTATAATAAATTGTGGAAATCTAACTTAAATGAGAAACTCCAACCTAAGGAACTCTAAAAGGGCTCATCTATTTCTGGTCACTGTATTTAGTGATAGAACAGTAAAACATATACATCATTACTCAGATTAGCTGATAAAAGTCTGTGCTGTTACTGGTCGTGGCTATGTTTTAAAAACCATTTGTAATGAAAATGAAGCATGGAACTATTTTCATGAAGAACAAGAACTTAATGTTCAGTTAGGAACATATTTTGTACTTGTGTGTTTCTGTAATATGTTATTACTTCTACCCTGGGCAAGTTTTGTGGGTACTGACTGCATTTGGTGCTTCTGTGTTCATTTCTGCTGCTGACAATGTTACGCTTCTTGTGCTATTTACATTACTTTTGTATTAAGATACTGACACTGAAGTCATGCTGTAGGTACCACTTAAGAGCCATTCTTTAGAGATTCAAAAAGTCGTTTATTTTAAAAACCTCTTAAGAAAATTCACCAATGTATTAAATGTGCATGATGAAGTCTTAAATTAATTTGTGTACATTGCAGCTAAATGTAACAGGCTTTATAAAGTTCAAATATCACATCTTAATCCAGGTAGTGAAAACTTGTAATTACATTGTGTATCCCGGAAGCTTGTTTATTACAAGTTCACTGATGTCTTTGTATTGATTACGAACACATAGTTCTCCCAGAAAATCATCCTCTTTGTCTGACATACTGTCTTCCAGGACACCAAGTTGTAGATCAGACATGTTAGACGGCAAGTAAGAGCTAACCTGTGTTACTGCCTGACTTTTTCCTGCAGAGTTCTGCCCCTTTCCTATACTCAGATCAGAACCAGAGCTAACTTGTTTGCTTCTCAGTGTAGGCACTTGTTTAATATGCTGATCAACCCTGTTCTCTTCTTGTTCTTCATCTAATAACGATGCCTCCATTCCAGCAAGGTTAAGTGAATCAACAGATTCACCGCTAGTTCTCTTGCTGTTTTTTAAGTCACTGTTTCTCCTCAAAAACTGGACTGGAGATGAAGCTGAAGGAACTGGCAGAAGGCCTGAAGTACTTCCAGGTCTTTGACTTGTCTTTGAAATTCTGGACCTGCTGGATTCCGGCTCTGTATCTGACCAACCTCGCTCTGGGCTTTCAAGCCACAGAGGTTCAGGACTGCTGTCAAGAGCTTCTGAGTCCCTGCCCGTACACTCAGCACTGGTGAAATCTTCTGAATAAATCGTGTTCTCAGGACTAGCAATGAAGTCATCTGAGTATATGAATTCAGAGTTGTTTTCAACACTCCTGCTGGGACTTGGTTTATGATCACTTACAACAGATGCATCATCATGCTCTGTGGTTTTATGATGGATTAAGTGTATTGCTTCCTCATTACTTCCCTTTGCATTAGCATCTGATGGGAAAGCTGCTGGGAGTTGGACTTTCACATACTTTTCCTGGTGAGATTTAAATACAGGTTGCTCCACTAAGGGGTCTGTAGTAACTTTGCAGGAACATTCCTTGCTTGCAATTTCATCGTTCTTCAATAGACTTGTAGCAGCCTGTTCCTGCAGGTCAGGGGACACGTGTCCTGTCAGAGAAACGTTATCTGTGAGAGCACTATTTTGTAATGAAGTCTCAACAGTTTTATGAAACTGATTATTCTGCTTTGAACTATCCCCCTTGATACAATTCCTGCAAGAAACCACATGCTGTTCTCCAGCATTTCTGAGCAATTTTTTTTTGGATAAAGAGCTTCTCTCCTTCAGCATTTCCATTTGTTTTTTTCTGTACCGCTCTCTCCTTTCATGAATTATCAGCTTATCAGGGTTGGTCTGCTGCAGCCGTAGCCTCAGTGTATTTGTCAGCCCATACAACAGTTTCTTTCTGGGAGGTCTGTTTTCCTTAGTTCTGCAGTTCCTTTCAGAGCCCGTCTCTCCCTGGGGTACAGCTTTCAGAGGTCCTCTTCCAGCCCGCGAAGACCCCGGTGAGGTGGACTCTTGCTGGCCTTGCTTGAATCGAGGGCTGGCAGCTCCACTGCTCCCACCAGGCCCCACAGGTGCCTCTGCAGGCTTGAGGGTTGAGGAGCGGCCGGGGCTGGGGGGTCGTGAGGCCACACCACCGCTCCCCAGGGCCTGGTAGAGCCAGGCCAGATGGGGGTGGACTGCAGCGGGTGTAGCGCTGTGTGTGAGCACCGACAGCTCTGCCAGCAAGGCACTGAGCAGCGGCAGCTGCCCCAGGACATGGTGGAGCTGTGGAGGGCTGGTGGGGTGCAACAGCGAGGGCCCAGCACTGGGACGCGGAGGGCTCTGGACCTTGTCTTTCTCCTGCGGTCTGCAGGCCTCGACATGCTCCCATTTCTCTGGGGCCGCTGCCGGTGGCAGATGATGCTCGGCAGGCTGGCGGCTGTAGTAGAGCACGGGAGGGCAAAAGATATTGCCCTCCAGCTCCTCACCCTCCTCCTCGCCCCCCGGCTCCGGGGAGGTGGTAGCAGGCGTGGAAGCGCGGGGGCTTGCGGGGCTGGGCGGGGACGGCTCCCCGCCGGCCTCCAGGCTGGTGAGGCGGTAGCCCAGGACCAGCTCCCCGACGGGGCGTCCCCCGGCGTCCCGCAGCGGGAAGCGGCCGCGGCAGCCGCAGGAAGCAGGCGCCCCGGGCCGCTGCAGCAGCTGGGCGGCGGCGGGGGCCAGGGAGACGTCGCAGCTACCGAGGAGGCGGGGGGGCCCCGGGGCGAGCCCGGCGGGCAGCGCCAGGAGCAG